ATTTTGCTTTGTCTCCCTTTGTCTCCCATGGCATGTCTGGATGCTGGGCTGAGATCACTTTGCTTTGTCTCTCCTTGTCTCCCCTTGTCTCCCAAATGCAATCCCGGAGACAGTCACGCACTCCTTTCACAGGAGCAAGAACCTTTCACAGGTCAACCTGTTCCAGCGGAGAGGGCAGAAAACACTAGTGCAGGCACCAAACCTGAAAGACAAAAAGAAAGAAATCGCATGGGAGACGAATGAATGGAAATGCTAGAGACAAATGAAAGGAAGTGGGAGACAAACCAGGAGACAATGAAAAGAAGTGGGAGACAAATGAAAGGATGTGGCAGACAAGCCAGCGGGGAACCCCACCACAAGCACCCAGCCTGGGAGACAAATGAAAAGAACTGGGAGACAAATGAAGAGAAGTTGGAGACAAATGAAAGGACGTGGGAGACAAGCCACACCCAGCCTGACAAGAACTGGGAGACAAATGAAAGGAAGTGGGAGACAAGCCACCAAGGCGACCATTCTTTAAAGCATTGAGAACCCCTAACAGTAAACTGTTTGGGGAAAAAGAAAACTCCGACTGCCGCTGCTGTTTGGGGTCGATGCTGGTTAAATTTCATAATTCAGGGGAGTTAGAAACGATAAAGTATTATAATGTTTGCAGATACGCGTTCGCGTTGCGACGTTGCTGCTTTCACTGAGTGCTGGGTCTGGTAAGCCAGGTTTCAATCAGAGCCATCCAAGCTGAGAAAAGGGCTCACAGTAAACAATACAGGACATAATAAATACAAAGGACAACAACTATGTCATTGCGCCTTTGTTCAGAAATCTTTTTAACATAGGTTCATAACATCTAGCCTGCAACATGCTAGCACAGGAATGAAAACCTTGGATAAAGTTGGCACCATGCCATCAGTACAAATGTTTCTGATGTCACAACAAGTTTGCTTTACTGATGGCTGCAGCTGCAGCTGCCGGTGCGCACATTGCAATGGAGAGACTGATGATTGCTGCGCCAGCTGTGCTGACGCATGGAAGTCTAGACCAGGCTTTGCGTTCACGACATGTCGCTTCTCACTTCTTTGTTTGGCCCAATGCCACTTGTGCAGCTAAGAGTAAGTCATAGTCAGACTGCAGACTCAGACTCGAACATGGTTGGTTGCACTGTTCTTCAATCCGATGGCAAACAGCAGGTGGCTGCTTTCCGGGAAGCGATGGGTCATTTGCAAAAGGTGGTCAAAGTGTCTTGTCAGCAGTAGGCGTGACCAGGGTCAGCAGGAACAACAAAGCTGTCATACTACAACTACAGTAGAGTTGTAACAGTTGTGAATGTGCTTTTCTGATCCAAATCCAGTGGCTAGGGCCGGGCAGGGGCCGGGACAAAGGCAGACCAAGATGAGCACGAGAAAATGATGAGTCGCTGGCGACCGTACGTGAAGCAAAAGCGTGGTGGAGGCAGACCAGCGTACAGCATCTTGCAATTACTTCAGTTTATGGGAATGCTACTGGGCTTGAACCAGGAGGTTTTGGTAAACCTTTAATTATTGTTGTAGAACAAAATGCAGATTCCAATTCTGATGCTTGGAAATATAGATTGGAATCCCGAACTTGGGATTGGGAGTCGGAGCCTTTTTTTTTTTGCCGGCTATATACTATAGCCTATAGCCAAGGGCCATTCATTTGCGAAGCGCTGACACCTTCTCCAATGTGTTCTCGGCGGCCATGGAACTGGCTACTTGTGATTTTCAGCTGGAGAGTCTATCTTTGCAGTGGCGAAACTCTGGCTTTGGTGGTGAGTTTGAGCGAATTTGCGATCCTAGGACAAAGAACTTAGCATTTGCAGAATACAAAACTTCAACATTTCTTTGTGGAGTCACACCAGTGCACCAGTGTGAAATTGTACTGTACTCATGATCAAAACTTCAAGACCAAGAAATGAGGGGTGGCTAATTCAACTCTCAGGATGAGGAGGATGAGAATGGTGGCAAAAACAAGTCTGGGTCTGGGCCATCTGCGCCGACTCTCTCTCGGGCTCGGAGCAAACTAGACGTGTTCTTGTGCATGGCAAGACGTGAATACTGGAGACACTGTGGCGGCTTTGATGGCCATTGGTTGAACTTATGTCACCCGGAAGTCAAGTTTGACCATTTTGGCAGAGTGGTCTTGCACAAGATTGAATGTAATTAGTGAGCTGGAAGCTGGAAGTGGGACCTGTCCAGTTCAAGGAAGCAACACATCCAAGAAGACATTATATACATTAGTTGGCGTTGCCTTAATAGTTTAAATGTTAATGTTAGTGTCTTTGTTTAGCACGCCTGCTCTAGCTTAGGTTTCGATGCAAGCAAGCAAAAGTTCGAGGTTCTGATGGTGGAAGAGTTTTCTTCAAGGCCAGTCCAGTCTGTCACCAAAACCAAAATTACATAGGCTATAGGCTATAGGCTATAGATACTATAGATACGGTTGGTTGACTGCAACATTGAAACCTGGGACTTCTGCCTGGCAGGGTCAAGGCAGCTACCGCTGCCTACTTGGAGAGTGTTTGCGTGCTGGATGATGAGCTGGAAACAAAGCTCAAAGACATACTAGGAGAAGATGGTGCGTGGTGGAACCATGGTGGCGGAGGGCTTCGGCGTCCACCTTTTGCTGTTGAACGACGACCGTTACCCATTGTTTGTCTTGGCAAAGGAGACTAGATTGAACATAAATCATTAATGAATTTGGGTTATTTGGTGCTACTTTGGTGCTGTGTAAGTTCGAGATCGTAAAGTTTTGCAACGTTTGTTCAATCCGCGTGACCACATGCGATCAAATGCGATCATATGAGGAGCGACAAATGTGCCACACAGACTAGAGTCTCTTTTGTGGGCTATCATGACAGAGTGTGCTTACAGTTCACCGCGAGAATGTTGCCATTTGTATTGCTCCAGAATTATCAGCGTCACAACAGATCAGGGTGTTGAAGCAACTGTGGCTGCCTGTCCCAGGGTCAATCTTGAGGACATTGTAGCGGAAGCAGCAGCAGAGCTTGGGGGACGTGTTGCTTTGGATCAGCAGGCAATGCCTGCACTAGGAGATGAAAAGCAGAAACTAAATCAGATTGAACTTGAGGACGAACTATCTCTTCGAGATGCCCTTAGTCCTAACCCTGGCATACCTGTTCGAGATCCCGAGAGAGTAATTCCAGACACCATCACCATACCTGCCATACCTGCAGTTGCCGCGGTTGAAGTTGAACCGGTACCGAGTTCTGTTGGCAATGGCCATGACCTTGCAACTGGAAAGGCAACTGATCTCTCGACTGATCTCTCGACAGAAGCCGAAGTTTGCTCCATGCTGTTTGAGAATGCATTTTTGATCCATGGCATCAAACACATTTGCGATAATTTATTGAAAGGAGTATTGCATAACATGAAAGTGTTCCTTGTCCGTGCTCAGTGAGAACATTTTTTGGCGTTGTCAAGTTGTCGCCCAAGGGACTATACAAGTGACATAAATGTGCATGCTTACACTTACACCGTACACCAATCAACACAGGAGAAGGCCCTAGCAGTATCAACAATAGAGGATATGTGTTGGAGTCAGTTTTGTTCGAGAAGTTTGCAAGGTGGCAGCCATTGATCAACGATCTTAAATCGCTCGAGAAGCTTTTGGGAGACCGAATGTTCAGAGAGAGATTCCAAGGGACTTGCATGCGCTCCGCGCCAGATGTTGATTGCAAGCGTTTCAACACGTTCAGCGCAAGTCTTGGAGGACTGAGATGGGAAGCAATCACGGAATTTTGTGCTGCTGCTTCTAGATTCTTCCCATAGAATCTTTTGAGGTGACGGTTGACGGTTGCCAAGGTTGAAGTTGAGGGCTGGGTTAAGCTAAGCATGGTGCCACATAGTGGTGGCTCCAAAGTTCAATAGTTAAACTTAAACCACCACCACTACCACCTAGCAACCTGGTTCTTTATTTGACTGTACACTGTCACGTGCAGCGTGCTTAGATCAGCGGCCTACCACAGTGCGAGGTTTATCCTTTGGAGCCACTGCTGAAATCCTATTGGGACAAGAAAGTATACATGGCAGGCTCCAAGGAAAAGGTGGAGGAGAAAGCTCAGCATCGCCCATGGTTTAGGTCAGATCAAACAGAAACTCGTTATGATCAAAACCACACGCGGGATAATAACATGTTTCTTTGTTCTGACAAAGCCACGGTTCACCGTTCAGAGTGGGATGGCACAGCCAAGGATGACTCTTCAGTCTCAGTGGAAACAATAGACGCTGCAATCAAGTCCAATATGATGTGGG